GGCAAGCATCAGATTGGGAACGGTTGTGCACTATGGCTCTAGCAAAACGGGCTTTTGATGTGGCAAGGCATTAGCTGGATTCATACCCTCTACTGAACCATAATCTAGCCTGTGTAGTTTGGACTCCGCAGAATGTGTGTACACAGCCAAACCAAAGCCAAACTCTTGTTGATGATTTAACATGGTGTGTGGACCCAATCATTATAAATATGCTTGCATTGCTTTGTTGATTTTGGCTCTTTCTGGTTATAGATGGAGATGCGCAAAGCCCTGACTGATTTCATTCAGGAGGAGATCCAGGCCCTAAAGGAACAGGCTGAAAGACTGCATCAGACTTTCAAGCTACAGAGCTAGTGTTGACTAGACTAAGCAGAAGCTCTATTACTGAAACATGGATTATGCAGTTGTGGTCTATGGCAAGAAACGTAGTCTTTGCACGGACTACTTTTAACTCATCGCTTTTAAGTTAAATTTTCTCATTTCTCCACCTACCGATACCATCTACACACCCTGCTGCAGATGGAGTGGCATTGCATGCAGAAGATTGGATGAAGGCTTCAATACCCCTTGTTGAGCTTCAGGCCCTCCTGACTGTACTGCTTTGGTGTCTGCCTCCCAAAGGGAGGGACTTGCAATGGCTACTGTATGTAGTTCCCTCTTGCTAGAACCTAGAGGTGCTGGGACAATTGCTGCTAATGCAAGAACAGGAAGAGGAAGGGATGGGGGAAGGAAATCTGTCTCCATCCTCTTGCAGATATCTCCACTCATTGGAGGAATACATAATGCATTTTGTAAATTTCCTCTTTTTGTAGAATATTGGTTTGCAAATGGTTTTATACTTGAAACTTCCCCAATAAATGATTCACACCTGTTGCAGCCTGGGTTAAGCTCCGAAGTGCCAGGGATTAAAGTTTTCTGCACATAATTCAGGTATCTTCATAGAGGAAAGTGTTTTATAGTACCTAGCAAAAGACCCTCCATTTGCCAATAGATACACCAAATATTGTAGGTTGTGAAAAACAATTAAGGCACTACTCTTAAAAACAAGCAAAACAAGTTGGCATAAACTTTTGGATTAAATTTAATCAGATATATGAATGTAACCCAGATTAGAAGCATACAAGTACCATGTCTATGGAGACAGAGTGGATGTTAGGCACTGATGACAGGAAAATAAATACAATATTAGAGACTGTGGTAATTATTCTTTTCCCCCCATTTAGTTGTGTCTGGGTTTTGAAGACTGCCTGGACAAGTTTTCTTTGCAAGGTTTTTCAGAAGCAGTTTGCTATTACCTTCAAGAAACTGACTAGCCCAAGGTTACCTATACCACTATATCAAACTGACTCTCTAATTATCCATTAACAATGGATATTCATAAAATTTTGAACAGTCACAGATGTTATAGTGATCTACCAATTTACATAAAATGTAATTAAAATGTTCAACCTTTGACCCCATTAAACTATAAAAGATGATCTTAGATCAGTACAGTACTTTAGGACAGTGGTCCCCAACTTTTTTGGCACCAGGGACCGGTTTCGTAGAATTTCCCCATGGACTGGTGTGTGTGTGGGGAAGCATGGTTTCAGTTTTGATCGCTCACCTACCACTCACATCCAGCTGTGTGGCCTGGTTCCTAACAGGCCATGGACCAGTACCGGTCTGTGGCCCAGGGGTCGGGGGGGGGTCTCCTGCTTTAGGGGAGTATTCAATATAGCACTGAGAAAATATCCACTGTAAGAAAAGGCGGTGTCTTTCTGTCTGATACTTAGATAGCAATGCAAGAACAGCTTCTGGCAATTTAGAACAATTTAGAACAACTTCTACCTAAAAGCACACCCTAGTGAGAAGAGACCTTAAATAGCAGGTGTTAGGTATGTTTGGCGTGATAGAGTCAGGCTGGCAGAGAAAATTTGTCCAGGGTAAAGCCTCTGAATATAATGAATGGGATTTAGGACTTCTTATCAGATTGTGTGCCTTGTTAATTAGGGAGACTGGGAAGGAAATGTCCACTCCCCCTTTTTTTGTAATGCCCGTTGAAGGTTTCTATTGTACTAGTTAATTATTATTATCCCATTTACAAGTGCAATCCCTTCATAACTGACATCAGGCATTGAGTATTTTGTAAATCTATTATTAGTGCAAATATCAGGAATTCAGCATAACTGAAGTGTATATTATGATTTATGATTCTCCACATTACAGCCCACAACTTGATAATGTCTGTGTAAATCAACCTATAAGCCTTTGGTGACTGCAGAACAAAGACCATTTCCTTCTCCCCCACTCCCATCCAGAGCTTGTCCATCTGTGTACAAATTCCATTCATTTTAATAGTAATAGAATAGGGCTGGAAGGGACCTTGGAGGTCTTCTAGTCCAATTTACCACCTTTTTTTGCCACAGTTGTTAAGTGAATCACTGTAGTTGTTAAGTTAGTAATGAGATTGTTATGAGAATCCAGTTTCTCCATTAACTTTGCTTGTCAGAATGTGGCAAAAGGGGATCACATGAGCCTGGGACACTATAACCATAACTATGAGCCAGTTGCCAAGTGTCTGAATTTTGATTATCCCCATTGACCATGGGGATGCTGCAATGGATGTAAGTGTGGAAAACGGTCGTAGGTCACTTTTTTTAGTGCCATTGTAACTAAATCAACTGTTATAAGTTGAGGACTACCTGTAGTTACAAGCCTAAAATCTTTCAGCAAGTTTCTTGATCAAAGGGAAATTTAAACCTAGCTCTCTTCACTCAGTCCAGGATTCTTAAATCATTGCACCCACTGATTTGTTAATGACCAGAGGCTTTGGGGGTTATAGCTAAGACATCAACACTAACAAGTTGCTTGCTACCTATATACGAATATATAATTTCTGCATAATATATAATTTCCACATACAGGAGAATGCACTCTGAACTTGTTTAAAGTACATTCCTCGGTATCAGTAAAATTTAAGCAAAGAACAGGTTACACTTTGCTTCTTCTCACTTCTCTCCAACAGCCGCTCCTTTTTCCAACTGGAAACGAAGACAGGGATTTCTAACACCAATGACACTCCCCCCCCCTTCACGAGTAAACGTTTATGGAGATTCTCAGTCATCCAGGTCATGGTTGCCCCAAAGGCGCTTTTTCAAGAGGCAACTGGACTTTGTTTTTCTTTGAAGACATTTCGCTTCTCATCCAAGAAGCTTCTTCAACTCTTCCAGTTGCCTCTGGTTTCTCACGAGTACAAAATTCTCCACCGGTCCTGCCTGGGCGCAAGACCATGTTGCATATTCTGCGGTGTTTTATTTTGGAGGAAGTCCCAGAGTTAGTCTTTTTGGGTGGAAGCCACTTTCGTGCCGCTGGTCGTTATTTATTAAAAAATAAAAAAAAATAATCATCACTCTAACCCAAAGTCGGCTTCAAAGCGATTACGGATTTAAACAGGCAAAATCGAGTTTTGCTGAACCGGGCAGAGACTTCCCATCCCGGGAAAGGAAGTGGCGGGCAGCATAAGGAAAATCCCTATTGGCTCTTGAAGGTCCCGCCTCTTCCTCTAAATGGATGTTCCCCTAAGGCCGGTAACGCCCTTCCGGGTTCTGATTGGCTGCAGCGGGCCGGGAAAGCAGGAGAAGAACTATCCGCGGAAGGGAACAGGAAGGAAGATGGCGTTGCGGTGGGTTGCTGGGGTTTTGCTGCTGAGCCTGGGGCTGGTGGCCGCGCACACCGGGCAGGTGCCCTTGCTCGCTTGGTCGAGTCACAGGTATGCGGGACTCTGAAATATTCTACGTGGGTAATTTGAGGTCACGGGGATTAGAGTCACGGGAGATCGAGGCGGCCGAAGGGATGTATTGGAGCTTGCTTTGCGTGGATAGCCACCCGAGTCTTTATTTTTGTTTTTGTTCCTCTGGATCGGTCCCTTTATCCACACCTTACGGCTCTGGATGTTTTAAACCTCTTATTCCTGAGATGCAAACCACCAATGCTGCAATCGCAGGTATTTGTATCCCCCCCCCCCCTTGAAGACTTGTCTCGAGATGAGTCTAGATTTGCTGCAATTATACTGCGTGTGCAATTGTGGGAAACCTATGAGATGGTCTCATGATCGCAGATTATTCGAGCCATTAGCTATTCTGGCTCATGATACTATTTTTGGGGACAATAAGAAATCCCCCTTTTGCTATATGGACCTAGAAGAACATTGTGAAATACAGCTCATTGATCTGCGCTGTGTTTCGGATTTTGGAGCTCTTGAGATGTGTGTTGTTAGTATAGGGTGAAAAAAAAAGAGTTTTGGGGGTGCTATTGTGTTAAGGGGAACTGAGATAATGAATAGCTTAGTTTTTTGTGGTATTACTAGTTTCTACCAACGAGATTGTAACTTTTAGCAAAAGTATCGCTTACAAATTATGTCTTAGTTCCAAGGCGCCAAGATGACATTTTTGACATTGCATGGACATAGTATTTAATTTACATATAATAGTTTTTTTCTCCAAAGCAATCAATAAAGTTTAATGCTTCAAGGTGGACTTTTCAAGAGCCATAGGATTTTTTGCAGTGTACAGAAAAAGGATATTCCACCCTCTTATTAGAAGAGTTTATTTCCACCAGTTTTTAGATATAGGAGAAGGCAATCGTTCAACATTGTTTTTTTTATTCTCCTTTCCATACCTTTCATTTTGGTATATCAATCAGAATCTACATTCCTCATAATTTGCTCTTCTTTTTTAAAGCAAGGCTTTTCAACCAGTGGTACGGGTACCACCTGTGGTACATTGGCACCTGGCAGGTGGTACGCGACCATCCTAGAGAAGTGGTAGCGGGGGAGGGGAATGAGCTGAACCGGTAGCAGCACTACACAAGCCTGAGTGAGAGATGGCTGGAGCTGCAGGGCTGTCAGGGCTCAGCGGAAGCGCCAGGATCAGCACCAGGCTCCAGCTGGAGCTCGGCGCTGATCCTGGCACTTCTGCTGAGCCCAGAAGAAGCACCGATCAGCTGGAATGTTGCAGCATCTCCAGGGTCTTGTGATTTACATTCAGATGCTTGGCAACTGATTCATATTTATGACGGTCACAGTGTCCCAGGGTCATGTGAAGTGACCAAAACCTGCTGCAACCACCCAGCAGACGGGGGGAATAAAAACCAAACACCCCCCACCCCACCCCCGNTACATTCAGATGCTTGGCAACTGATTCATATTTATGACGGTCACAGTGTCCCAGGGTCATGTGAAGTGACCAAAACCTGCTGCAACCACCCAGCAGACGGGGGGAATAAAAACCAAACACCCCCCACCCCACCCCCGCTGCCAATCCTCAACAGAAATGCTCACAACAATGAAAACCTCGGACAGGAGGAAGAGCGCCATCGGGTGGGCAGGCAGGTGTCTTGCTCGGCTGTGGCTTGGGGGGCACTTTTTTTAGTGCCATTGTAACTTCGAACTGTCATTAAGCAAACTGTTGTAAGTCGAGGACTACCTGTACTTTATCACTTTTTTTCCTTTTTTTTTGTTTTGGTCATCAAGTTTTTGACACCTTGCTAAGCGACTGGTGGTACTCGGATATTGCCATATCCTAAAAGTGGTACAATGGGTGAAAAGGTTGAAAAGCCCTGTTTTAAAGCACAGTGTTCTTATTTGATTACATTTCCCTTTGTGCTATTGTTGTCCTTGCCTTGGGAGATATAATTGTATTGTGACCAATTGCAATTAGTTAAGAGACATATTTTTAAAAGGTAATGCAAAACAAAACCAGGTGATGTGATGGGATTTTTATTTACTCCTCCACTCACTAGTTTTAAATAATATTTTTGAGACTTTGACAACTTAGGTGCCACTATATTTTAGAAATTCTATGAGAATGTGTTGGCATGAAATTCTCTTCTCCCCTCAAAAGACTTTTTAGAATAAAACTTGGCTGTACGTAAAAGATATAGTAATGTATTATTTTGGTCTTTTATCATGGCTGCTAAGCATTCTCATCTTAATGTTATTGCAATTCAAGCTAGAGGAATTTTCTTAATGAGGAGATATGGAATTGTAGTTGGGCTTAAGCCAGTTGATATGCAGAAGTTGTAGAAACTCAGCAGTGGCCAAATACAGTATGGAACCTAAAAGCTCATAGAGCTTTTCTTTTTGGCTTGTGTGGTGAGCGAAATGCTAATTTTAATCCTGCGTGTTCTATCTGTGTCAGCATCATTCCCTAAACTGGTGTGATCTGAACATGTTGACCATTGGTATTTGTAACATCCTGCCAGTAGGCTGTCTGGGGTTTGTGGGAATTGAAGTCCTGTACACATGAAGACATCAGGCTGGAAAAGACTGTGATATTATAAGATAAAGATAAAAGCTTCTGTGAAAGAAAATTTAGCTTTTCTCCTTTTGACTTTTCCCCCCTCTATCTTGTGAGCACAGCTCCTTATGGTCCCCTTTGGCAGCTCCACATGAGGGTCATGTGGTGACAGAAGCTCAGCTTGCATCTTTACTGGACTCAGCAGTAGACAATGGCCCTCACAATGTATTGCTGTTCCTTCAGGAGAAAGTAAGTTATGGTGACAGGCTTCTTCATTGTATTTATGTCAGTTCTTATTAGTGGTTGCATGCTGACCTGTTCATGTAGACTTTTAAATATTTTTTATTATAATCTATGAGAGCGTAAAAGTCTTTTGGAAATAACCTTTTTACAAGTAGTTAATAATTCTATAGATTTCATTGTCCGAATACTGATTTTTGTTCTTTTGGGGATTCAGTGTATATGTGGGGGGGGGGGAATGCTTCCTGTTTCTTGAGAGTGCACATGGCAATAAAAGGAAACTTCTTTGGCTTAGTCATGTTTACTGGGAACCTTGTGATATTCGATCACTTCTTCACTACATTTATCAGGATCTTTGTTAGCCAATGTTTACTGAACCTACGTGTAGGATGGGGTATTTCTTTTTTCCCTCCCATTTTAACATGATAAAATAATAATAATGCAGGTTCTCCGTAAACTGGAGCAGCGGTTTCTGTTGAAAGCTCCTTTTGCCCATTTTTTCTTTTGATCTGGTCTGTAGGTTTGAAGTAAAATCAAGATGGCTTCCTGTCAAAATATAAAATGTTTAAAATGGTGTTGAGAGAGAGAGAGAGAGAGAGAGAGAGAGAGAGAGAGAGAGAGAGAGAGAGAGAGAGAGAGAGAGAGAGAGAGACTGAAGGTTTAAAACAATTTGTCTTCCCTTACAGCTTAGCATTGAGGATTTCACAGCGTATGGTGGAGTATTTGGAAATAAGCCAGATAGCGCCTTCCCCAATCTGGAGGTGAGGAGAATAATTGGGAATTATAAATTATGCTGCATCACCTATTTTTCTTAC